ACGACTCAGCTTCGACCAATGTTTTTAAATGTCTACCGCAAACGTTACAAAATTGTAATAAACTCGAGGCACGTGATGTTTGACACGTTAGAAAAAACAAAAACGAAAATGTACGTTTGACGAGCTTAGGTTTCATTTTGAAAGTATGATTTAAATATAAAGAAATAGAAAAACAATTATTTAAATGTACAATTACGATAACAAATAATTTATACAGTTATAAATAATATAATAACAAATGTTACTGGACAAAATAATGTAAAAGCTGCAGAGTAGGCTCTTCTTTTTATGTACGGTGATGATATATAATAATGATAACTCCAAAATTTGCACAATTTTCAGAGATGCTTCAGCGGTAATTAATTAGGATGGGAAAATTTAAACTATAAACTTCATTAAAAAAGATGAAATTATTTTTTAACCTAACCAAAACGTGTTTATAGTGAAGTAATTAATCACCCCTTAATTACCAACTTTGTTGAACGAAATTTTTTATTGAAACAATCTCCACGAGCCGGATTTTTAATTAGCCAAAACGAGGGTGAATAAAAAGTAAATAGATTCCCTTAACCCTCATAAATTAGCTTAAATAACTGGTTTTATTTAATAAATTTTAACGTTCCAAATAGTCCATCTACTCTCACTCTACACTTACTGAGTATCCAGATCGCACTTCTCAAAAGCCAAATATGCCAAATAAAAGTAGCGTGAATCTGGGTGTGCTTAATCGTTAACATAAATGACTCTAACATAAATGACTCTACCTTAAGAATACGAGGCTCTACTTTACCAATATAGCACACTACCTACCAACAGAGTACTCTACTTTAACAATACCGTACTCAACCTTGCCTACGCAGTACTCTACCCCACCTACAGAATATTTTACTTCGCCAACTGAGCACTCGCTTTTCTTCTCTTACTTAACGCAATTATTGTACCAAAATTATCCTTTAAAAGTATCAAGCGACGAAACGAGCGTTGGGAAGTGCACGAATATTAAAGTTCCGCGCTGAAAGGGGCAGGATCAACTAACCTCCATCCCCTTTGGCTCGGTTGATCGACCCACTGGCCTGCTTTTTACGTTTCCTTTCCCTTCGAGCCCTCACGTTTTCCACCTTTCTCCACCTTGGCTCTCGGAGTCGTGGTGAGCCACTCCGCCGGCACCGGAAGCGAATTTCGACGATTGTTGGGAAATCGATTTCTCCCCTGTCTCTCTCGCGGCCATTCACCCTTCGACTATCAACGTGGAAAAGTTTGTCACGGTTTGTCCACCCGGAGCAGAGTTCGTTCACTTTGTTCGCTCGCCGATGTCGCGTCAGGTTTTCGTAATTGGTATCATTCAGACGAGCTTTTTCTTGCTCGCCATAAATTCAGTAATCGGTGGTGGTTCGAGACATTTATTTTTGAATTTTCTCAGGGAAATTTGCTACTATTAGAGCGATGACAGTCGGTACACGGAGTTCGATATTTGTTTTAGGGGTTGTTCAATTTTAGAATTTCTGTAATAACTGTTTGCAGCGTTGCCAAAAATGGATTACGACAAACTGTTAGTAATAATTATCAGGTAACAACACGAGGTAGCTACCGCGGCGGCCTCCGGCTCCAAATTGATAATTCAGCCCTGGCGCACGGAGGGTTTAAGACAGATAACATACAATTTGCGTCAACTCGCGGAGAAAAGCGGACGCGCGGGCCACGGGTGTAAATCACGCTGAAACACGATGCGAATAATAAATTCTGTCAGCACTAGCTGCTTCCCTGGTTGGCCGAGTCTGATATCTTGCGGCGTTGCGCGGCTGGCCTGCAGGGAACTGCCAAGATGAGGACGCCACGGATCCGATGAAAAACGATTCCGTCGAGCCGCGCCTTGGAAAACCGTTGCAAGGGCTTTTTTCGTGGCTGAGGAACGAGGCCAGGGATCGTTCGATCGGCTACGATCGATCTACCGTCGCGATAATGCACGTCGGCGACTCTCGACGACCGCGATCCAGGTGGTCTCTCACCTCTCTTGCACCGAGAACGACACTGTGATACGTTTTTATCGCTCTAGGATTCGATTGGGGGTGGACTGTTTTGGATATCTCGCGAGAAGGATCCGTGTTTCTAGAGAAACAATTTTAACTCGAAGGGGGCTGAGAAAAGAATATTAAAAAAACCTTATCTACAGACCATTTCTACTTATTTTTATTTATACGCGCATGCTTATCACCGACTAAATAGTGCAAAAACTGGTTCATCCTTGCTCTAATACTATACAAATTTTTCTGCAGATGATAAACAATTCATTGCGTTACATTTACATTTTCTGTAGATAACGAGCAATTTATGTAGCAGAATACTACTGCGATAAAACATCCTGGTTGTTTGACCACATCGTTTTTTTTTATTTTTTGTAAAATATTACTTGTAAAAGTTGGGGTTGTGTTTTTTCTGTCTTAGCTTCAACCAGTGGTTCTTCTATCAGCATCAAAATGATCCGTGAGATAAAGGTTTCACTTAAAAAGACCCAAGTGGGCAGCACACGCTTTAAACACTCTGACCGACTACTCATTGTGAAATTTTAATGCTACCCAATGGAAGTCCTTTACGGCTCGCGTTTTCATCATTTTTCTTTTTAATTCGACGTACTTTAGGAGATAAATCCATTCATAGGTGAAAATGGGTCACACGGGGCGTACGTGGCTCGCGTATGGTCGCGAGAGAAAAGTGCACGGATGAGCGTGGAAGATTCGAGTGATTGTTTCTAAATGGCGAAGCTTCGCGGCGATGTATCAACGATCGAGATTGATCGAACTCGAGGAATGCGTTTGGCGTTTTTTTGGTGACCTGAGTGTTTCGCCATGAGTCCGTGCTCGAGTATTGGAAAGTTCTGAACAGAAAGGGCGTGATTTAACTGTTGGAATATACAGTCAATTGCATAAACATTCTATTGACAAAATTTGTCTAAATTAAATGATAGCTCAATAAAGCTCAATAAAGACCATTCTTAAGAAGTAGTATTAATTGCGGAGTTCATTAAGTGTCGAGCATTGTCTAAGAGAAGAAATTCATTAAATAAAAGAAGACTTCGTTACAAACTGACTCTCCTTTCAGTCGCCTCGATTACCATTTTCGTCTCTTCCCTCTCTAAACGTATCGCGGAGTTGAAAGAGCACAATAAACCAACGGGGCAATTTTCGAGGACCATTCTGTACCTTCCGCCTCGGCCACGAAGAAAGGACGAAACGACGCCGGTTGCTCGCGTTTCCCACGTAACCAGCTTATAACGAACAATTGCTGGTCGTATTGTATCAAAATCGCTTGCGTGGGTTATTGCCGAAGGTGCAGGGGCGGCGTTGAGGAACAAAATCGCGGGGCCATGTGCCAAAGCGTTGTCTTTTATTGCCCCGGTGATCGGGTCAAGCGTTATGGTGCCGTGTATCATGCGAATGGCCGGCATTCGGTGAATGACAAATGACGAAGCAGCAATAACGGGCTCGTTCGCGCGTTGCCGGGGAATTCTTCCGTCGAGGAAGTGTAACGGAACGCTCGAGAAAACTGTTCCGCTGGTGGAACGACGCGGAGACGTTCAAAGTTGGCAAAAACAGGCGACGTTATCCGAACAAGTTAAGTCGTTATTGATATAGTGGTTCGGTTTACGACGGGGGACGATATTGCAGGGAAGGTACTCGAGCCAGGGGATTAATTTTTAATTATCCGTTATATCGCGATCCGTGGCTTTATGGCTGTCTGATCGCGCACTCGCTGTCACTAATAGATCGATGGGCGAGCCTTAATTAAGGGGTGGTATATTCCAGAGCAGAAGAGTGACGGTTCGTAGGGGATTTTTTCGTTGCTTTTTGTACGTTGTTTTAAGCATGAATATAAATTTCAGTGTATCTTCTTGAAATATACAGCATATAATAAAAACACATTTACATAATTCTGAAGATTCCATGAAAAATAGCAGTTATTGGCATTAATTGTGCTTGCAACCGTACAAAATCCTCTTAGAAAGAAAAGTTACAACTTGGATGTTGAATTAGGTCAACTTGAAGCATCAAAGTATTTGAACTCTTGTGACGGAACACTGAACTTTGAACTATTTGCATTATTAAAGTAAAGTAGTTGAGCTCGTGAACTATTTCGACTAATCTCGTTGCACTTCTAAACTCTCGAATTAATTGAATCCTTAAATCGAAATAAATGGGCTCTTGAACTCGACTGACAGATTCTAATTTGTTGAAGTTGACATTAATTCTGAGTCTTTTATTTTCATTATTTATTTATTTTCCTTTATAAACAAAAATACTAAGTTTATTTTAAACAGGCACAGCAATAAATTCTGTTAATACATCCTTGGTAAAAATCTAAGCCATCACATTTCACTCATGTTTGGAGAATTGTCGTCGAAAGCAAACTATGATATTCTCCATAAATGTTTTTCAAAAATCGCACGTTCCGGACGACGACATTATTAAACACAGCCTTTTGAAATATCCAAACACAAACGCTGCTAATCAACGTACGATTCTCTCTGCTTGCGTCAAAACAGAGTCCTCCTCCCATTGAGTGTAAGGAAACAATAGAGTACGTTGAATCGTATTCGCGAAAATCACGCATGGGTCCACCGAAGTCTACGCCATTATTTCGTTATCGTCGCGCAGAAATTTATCAGAGTAGTTTCTCCTTCGTCGGTAAATCAGAAACGATGAGACTCGTATACTCCGTTAAGCGTATTTAACATGGCGTTTAACAATGCCAATAGCATTAAATGTCCTATTCGACTGGTCGGGGGTGACGAGTCGTTTCCGAGGATTTGGCAGCGAGCTTCTTCGTTATGCTATTACTATATAGTCCGAGACAAAATGATACGTTCGCCTGGTTTCATTTATTACAGCCTCGGAATCTACGATTACTCCAGACGTAATAAAAACGAGTTCTATTACAGGAATCGTAGCCATAAAGTTGCTTCACTATTTTAAAAGAACTTACTAAAAAAAGAGGAGAGTACTTACGTCGCCCTTCTCTGGAACGTATTTGGCCAGCCAACCCCACAGGATACCGAACCCAAGACCTCCGATAATGGCAATTGGACCCTGGAGGATTTGGTACCATAGCGCGTCATGGGAAAACATGATGCTCTTCACGATTCCGTGAATCGCCACTGACGCTGCGTCATCGATTCCAGAAATGGCGATGATCAAGGTCGGGATGCCCTGGAAAAATGAAATGTTTGGTCTGTAATAAGGGAAAAGTAAGTAGCAACACGATATTATTTTGATTAAATTTCGTCACTATTCGACTACACCGTTCGAATTGGATTTCGAATCCCTGAGGAGTAACAATGGGCACGTAGGTGAATCGAAATTGAATCCGAAACGGGCCCCGTTAGGAGAGGAAAATTATCGGAAAGAGTTATTAAGCGTTTCGCAGCGAGCAATCTTCCTATCGAATTCGATCGCGACGAGGGCTTTTCCGACGCGAACCGAAGGCTTCCGCGATTTTCCAACGTTTCCACCTCCGACTTCTCTTATTTTCCTCGGACGGCTACAACATCCGTGATTCGCGGAAACTTCGTTATCGAGTGCAATCAGATTTCTTCGAGGCAACTTCAAAACCATTAAGGAACTTCGGCTGGGGGAACGTTCGAGGCCGGTGAAAATAATCTGCGGATGGAGGTCAGAGAAATCGCTCGACGGAGGGGAAGAGGAAGGAGAAGGAATTATAAGTGGAAGGATCTAACGAGACCAGTCGACGACAACGGGGAACCGATTCCACGGCTGCTACGAAAAGCTATCGGGCAAGCGATAGCTCGTGCGGGATTTAAGTCTGCCGACTATCGTGATTCTCGAACCAGTCGAATCAAACTGTGGCTCCAGAAAGAGGTCCCTGGGTAAACGTTCCAACTGGTCAGCGGTTCCCGCGACGCTATGTTTTGTCGTACGTTTTCTGTATCGACGACCATTCGCTACCCCGGCCAATTTTTCGATTTAACTTGCTTCCCCAGACGGGAATATACGCTACTTCCGAAAACTACATTCCGTATTAGATTTTATATTTTTATATTATATACGTTACGTTCGATACATCATTCATATTATTAATGCAAGATTATTGACAGTGCAAACAGAGCGTTTTACAATTGAAATGAAATTTCACGTTCATTCAATTCAAAGAAATCGTAATCATCTCTGCTTTCTATTCGCCGCGTTCAAAACAATTTTATAACAGACCACCCAACTCCCTGGAAGGTAATTCTTATCCTTTGAAGTCGAAGTAACTTGAGTTTCTTCATTTTCGTTATATCTCTCTGGGAAATGAGAAGATGCAAGAAATAACGAAGCGGAATTATCAAAGGGGGTTTCCAGTTTTGTCTTAAACCAGCTGTTCGCAAGTACAGACATGGCGGACGGTAGTTAAATTACAATACTTTACAAAAGTTTCAACAGAAATTACGTAAAGAATGTCTTAAACTACAATTAGATTATTAATGTGCTCTATTTAATTAAGAGAGGCGAACAGTTGCCATGCAAAATAGAATTGTGCAATTCTCGGAGTAAAAGTCAAATTAAAAAAAATACTATTTTAATATATTGACTTGGAGTGATTTTAATATATTGACTTCACTCTTAAATTTTGAAAAAAAATTCATCCTAAATAAAATATTCTATATATATATACATATAAATTTGAAATGGTAAAATATAAATATTAGCTATGTAACGGTACAAACCTACGTAGACCTTTCAATTTAATGCGTCAATTGTCCACGAACAGAATGGTTGACAGAATAACGTAAATATTGACTCTATATGAATAGAAACACGAACAAGGTTCATTGTTTGTTCGTTACAAGAGAAGGAATTCCTCTCGTGACGCGTTAAAATCATAAATTCGGGTACCTGTTACACGACATGTTCCGGTTGACTAGCCCGGAACAATGGAAATGAAATTCAGACCAGCACAGAGCGACGGAGTTATAATTTATAGCATAATTTTTAGACTTTCGTCAGCATATTTTAAAATCGCAGTAAGTAAATAATAAATGTTGTTTACTCTTTCTTGTCCAATTATTCAGTGCCCCCTTCTTAACTTCGGATCATACCAAAAAAGTTTCAAGAAAGAAAACCATTTCTTACTCTTGTTTTCCACCATACCAATACAAATATTAAAAGTTCCAGTCCATCAAGCATAACAGACAACTCATACCCAAGCGCGTGCATTTTACTGTCGTTTTTCGTGCCAAGAGGCCAACGATAGTTACAAAGAGTAATACACCATTTAAATTATTCGCGTTGCGATAAACACCGGTTTTACAAGAAGAGCAATGCCCCGTGTACATCATACTATTGAAACGGTTATTGTCCGCGAGAAAGTTCTAGTGCGAGCCCCGAAGAAGAACCGTAAGATGAATTTTGCTGCGGCGAACTTTTTCTCGGGATATTTCGGTCCCTCCGCAAGAACAGCAATGTACTCGAGAGATACGTCCAAAGGATACGTTTATTTACGAAAGCAACGAGAATCGTCCTCTCTCCTCGGCGAAGAAGAAAAGCGTAGAACGAGGAAAGAAGTTGGACGCATCTCCATCGAATTCGCAAGCAGGACGAACCTTTTCGATTCGCTTCGACTTGGCGAACAAAGGGCATATGAAAAACTTCTTTGATCCCTCGAATAATGCGAATTACCCGACACACTTCTGACAGGGCATTCAATTCCTTCCCAGGACACTTCCACCAACGACCGAGAAATAAACAAAAAGCCTTCCAACCCCTTCCACCGTCTAGATGTTTCATCTCATGAATATCACATTCACGGGAATGGCGTTTGCACTCTTCAAACAGCTTCCACTCCATTTTCTAAACTGAATTATTTAAGTTCACCCCCTCCTCCCTCCCCGCCCTGTCGCCTGTTCTCGCTACTATATCTGTCATTATCATTTTAAGCAGGACTGCATCGCCATGACAAACATTCGAGACGCTTCGCGTGCAACGTCCGCGAAGGTCTTCGGGAACACTTGTTAAATCCAGGCTTGGGTCTCATTAATTTTTATATCGTTCGCTGCTCGCGGAAACCTTTCAATCCTATTCGAAGAAATCAACGAAAATAGCAAAACTGACGGTGCTTAAATTTTATAATTTAAGCACCGCCATGTGTGCGTTAAGGGCGAGTTCCTTTCTTTATTTTATCATTTATTCGTCCCTGTTACATAATAGATTAAAAATAAAAACTTGTTATAAATTTATTTGCTCGAATTTAATGTAAAAGAAACGACATTACTTTCTGGCCCCACTAATAAATATTTTTCTTTGATTTTTAAAATTGTTCTTTTACATTAGAAATTGTGACTTGAAAAGCTAGAGGAACTTTTTATATTTTACATTTATTTGCATATATGATCTTGTTCCCTTGTCCTTTGGTTTCCTCACATAATGCTTAGTGGTCTAACAGTCCTTGACACGGCCGTAAAAACGCGAGCTAGCATCAATTCTATATGTTTCAACAATTTATAAACCCTACACTTCTTCGCACTCGAAACGTCCAGGTCGCCCCAAACCAGGCCACCTCGTCAACGTGTGGTCTACATTACGTCTAATACTCATTACCAGGCTACATTGCGAAATAACGAACTTACCCCAAGAAGATTGTCCTCGATTCGAACGACGAACGTTCCACGCTGAAGATCGTTAACGAAAATCAAGGTATTCGAAGTTGTTTGGCGCGGTAACTAACCACTCGACGCCCTTATTATAAATTTATTCTTTCGCCGGAGCGCTTTAAACGAGCGGAAACTTTGTCAACGCCCCTGTTTTTACATTCGCCAACTCTTCGGACTTTACAATTTATTACTCGCCGTAAGCTGCCTCGGAAAGTTATCGACTGAACAGGGAAGCGAACCGACTACGGGGATCCTAGAGTTTACGTGACAGAGTAAATAGATACTTCACCTCACGGAAAGCCCATTCCGTGAAGGAGTCGCGCCAGCTGGTGCACCGGCAAAGAACGGACCGGTCCGGTCAATCGTTTGAAAATCAAAGCATGCTCTCTACCCTTCCGCCCAGCCTGCGGGAAAGTTTTCTTTCTCGGCGAGAAAAGATCAACACTACGTATATTAATAAAACATTAACAGAAAACAAAATTACAACGTCTTAATATGACGTAACTACACTTATTTCTTCCTTAGACATAGAAGATTACAAAAAAAGTCGAATTTAAAAATTCTCAGTCTGAGAAAATTCCTTGACTACGTCGTGGTCAGACGTCGACGATAGAGAGTCAACAATTTATGAACATTTCCTTGTTCCGTCTGAGAATTTGATCGATACGTTGGTTTGTCAATAAGAACTGTCGCTGCCAGGCTCATCTAATACGCCTTGTGAACAAAGGGTGTCTAAGTTCACACTGACGACAGACTTCTTCGACAGCTTTTATATAAAGGCGTTTCGAAATTGCACGACCGACGTCGAGGATTGACGTTCGTGATTATTCGACCATATGTCTTTGATTTCCTTCCCGGAGAGAAAATGTACATCTTCGTTACAGGAATGCAGAGAATTTTGATATGTCGCAGACATTATTCTTTTAGGGATTATAAATGGCGTGCACTTTTTTAATTGTATTTTACTATTTGTATTAGATAGCAGAGAAAAATCGTATTAATTTCTATTTCTTAATTTCAGTTTTCTTTATCAAGGCAGTCGTAGCAGCCATTCGCATAACAGCTAGGTGCAATGCTGGTGTATAGTAAATTCCATCGATAAAGATCTAGTTAAATCCAACCACTACTGCAATCTTCCGCAATTACGAAACGTTGTTCGAACTTTAATCCCATCTAGTTCGAGGAAAATGAACACAGATCCTTTGGCACTGAGACTACTCTACTCGAAACTGCGTGGGAACACAATCGTATTGTTAACTGTTTTAAATTAAACAACGCCCTATTAGATCTCTAACATCGTCAGATACCTCGATTACGTAGTATTTATTATCATTAATTTTCCTTGAGCTGTGGACCATTCTTCTTCACTTTTTACGTTTTTTTTAAAAATTAGAATAATAATTTATACACTGATTGTATAATTATAACCGTATTAGATTTTATTGATGAATATTAGATTTGTTTTAATAGTGCTAACAGAAGAATCGATGGAGTTTTGTTTGGAAAACTGAAGAAGAGTTTAAACTTTTCGAAGAAACATGTTTAATCTTCGGAGTTAGTGAAGTTCCCTCTACTAAATTAAATTCTCCAAGACAAACAAGTCTTAAACCGTTCCACTAACAACGCTAAGTATTGTGTATAATTATTCTTACTAACAGTTCAAACAGAGATAATTTCAAATTCGAAATGAATTTAAGTGAAATGAATAATGAAATGAAACCAATGCAGTTTGACTAAATAAATAATTCTCGTCTCAATTTCTATTTCTAACAGTACTTTTACGAAATTTTACGAGTACAGTGATCGCAAATTCAAACAATGTGTGTGTGTGTGTGTGTGTGTCTGTCAATTAATTTTCTCGCGTTTCATTTTGTTTTCGCCATACTTGATTTTGCTTTCGTTACGAAAACTTCGCTGTCGTTAAAGAACAGCACTTTACTCGCTTTGCATAGCTGTTTGTGTAGGAAGCTGCTCGAAACTTCCGATACCTTAGCAATTTTAAGAAACGATCTTTGCCAAAGTTCCCCGGAGTTCCTTATCAATTTTTTCTCTCCAATGTTCTCAATGACTCAACCTATAACGTGACTTGAACTTTCCAATAGTAATTTCAAATAAAAATTTACCGATACCTCGCAAATTGTCAAAAGATCAAGATTACGATGCAATTTACTAACCGAATTCTACAAAAATCTGTTAAAACGAATTCTGTCCCAGAATTGACCTTTTATTATTTTATTGACAAACTTTCGTAAAGAAAGCAACGTTCCTACAAATGAAAATTAAATCAACCAAAATTGAAAACTTCCAGCTGCAAAGGCAAACAATTTAATCGATGCGCTGAATCGAGATCTGTCCCAGAGTTTAGCAACAGTCTCGGCATTCTTACACTCGATTCCTCGCAGTTCACCGTTCCCAATTTCGCTCAAACCGAACACAGTGGACTCACCGGTTCACCCGAGATTTCGCTGGATCCTGTGACCACCGTAACTCGCCGCAATTACAAAGCGCTGCTTAAACCACGATCCTATCTAATTCGGTAGTGTACCTTTTGTCGAATTTATTGTCATCGAGCTGACCCCCGCGCGATTTTCGTATTTTAGCCAGCTCGACCACGCGGACAAACCGTAGCTGGGTTTCTCTTATTATGTCCGCCGAGGCGGAATAAAGCTGGCCGTTCTTGGCCGAGTCCGTTTTCCGCATCGATTATCGAAAGGCGGCGGACCGTGTCGAAGGAATACAGATCAGACCACCCGGACCGTATTCAAACTAATTTCTCTGGACGCCGCGACGCTTCACCTAAACGACGTCTGAGACAAAAGTTGTCGAACTCTCGTGGACTTTCTTTCGTTGTTGCGAACCGCGGTTGATACTTTTTCGACACTTTCGCGATGGAATATTTCATCGACCGTCGAAGGCTGCGAAGAAACTTCGGATAGTTGGCTACTTGAGTATTTCGTTATTTTAATATACCGAGTGGGATATTTAGAACAGGAAACAGAAAGAAAAATTATTTTTGGTTTATACCATTCTTACCAGAGAATGGGAAAGATATGTACATTTTAATCTAATAATTAGCCCTTTGGAATCTGTTTTACATAGAGTTGAATAAATTTTGCAGATTTTTGTGCCGAATTTCTTTATTACCTACAACCCATTTATCTCCAAAACGCACGCAAGTCCAGAAAGGGGACTAAACGGGCAAGTCAAATAAATAAGTAAACCGAAAGTCAATTATTGCTATCTTCCTCATAAAAAAGGGAGGCGCGCCGTGTTCAAAGCGCGTTATCAAGGAAATTTTTGTCAGCAGCGCACGCTGCTAACTTGCATAGCCGATTCACAAAGAAGCAATTCGCTTTGTTTTAACTTTGTTGCGAATTTTTTCCGCGCCACGCAGGCAATTGCGCCCCGAGCAGACGCGAAATTACACCTACAGTAAACCGGCGTTCAAAAGAAACTTAATTAGTGTCGAGGAGTCGCTTTTGGGGAAGTTTAGCACGGTGTTCCGCGTGTCACGCTGCGACGAACAGATTCAACTTCGTTGCATTACTTACCAACGCAGCCCCTCCGAAGAGCGGAAGCATCGCGTTTTAGATGAGACCTAATTGGACACGTGAAATTCTCTGTCGGGCAACTTATGCCTCCGTCAAACGATATCGCGATCCTTCGAAAGACCTGTTTCTCTTTGTAATTAGTTTACAGCAGCGTCAACCGCCCGAACGACTTATTAGATGGGGTTGAAACTGTTCGAGAGGTTCTTGTTCACGTCATCTTGCATTTTGAGGAATAAAATGCAACGAGTGGTAATGGATCTGGCACTGAATACTACCAAGGACGGTTGCGTGATCATTTTTCCATTTTTATATAGTTTCTTATACAAAATGTTACCATTACACTGCGGATGTTTATGCAAGTTTGTAAGTTCACAGACATAGAAAAAGATGTAAAATTTAGACGAAAGTATATCTTATCTGGAATAAGCAAAGTCAGTATCTTCTTAATTCAAAAAAAAAAAAAAGGAACTTTTATTTTTCAACCGAGTCGACGTTTCGTTTACTCTAATTCGAATAATGGAGACTCCACCGCACCGCAAAATCCGTAATTCAGAGTCCAACCGTTTCAATTACTAAATGTCGTAGCCTGAAATGCATCCACCGAATTCAACGAATGAATTTTCCAGCGCAGAAGCCCGCCATCGCGAGAGCTCAAGTATTTACCAACCGAGCAGTCGAGTAAGAAAAGACACGCCCGAGTCGGAAATGTTTTAAGTGAACGTTTAATCTCACCTTGGCAACCCCGTAGCCCTTGCCACGTAACCTGAAGAGACACGGCACCACGACAGCTGGCGAAACGGCGGCCACTACGCTACCCAGCAGGAAACCCCATATCCAGGGCAGGCCAATCAGGTATTTTGACATTATGGCTATCACAAACGCCTCGACGACCCATGGTATTAGACCGATCTTCGGCACGGTGACTCTCAACCTTCTCAGAGCGTTCGGGTCCAAGTCCAGGCCTGCTCTGGTGAGGATGATCACGAGAGCGATTTTTCTGCAACAGAAAATAGCCAGATAAAATTAAGTGTTAATAATCAGAAGGTAGCCAGGATTAGTTCAGGGTGTTAGGGTGGCCCACCCCAAATGGTATACGTTTCAAATAGCTCGTAATTTTTCTTATTAAGATAATTCATTTCACGACTCCAATTCGTCCTAAAAAATTCTCCTCCCTTTTCAAAGCCGCTTTCCAAAAGTTACAAAACCACCGACACAATGCGGCGTCATATTTACTTTTCCCCCATTCATAGTTGCGTCAGATGTTGAAGTTGTTGACCAGGAAAGTTCTGCAAAACAACATCCCCTGTATTTCTCGAATATCGAGGATCATCGAGACCGATGCTCCCACTCAAATTCCAGGACGAACTTTGCCGAAGATGTTCGAACTCGTCGCGAAGGAAATTCCTCTCGACCGAAGCCTCGACAAGCAGATCAGCTTTGAGGGAAGAGGGGTCACTTGTGGCGGAGGACTCGCTTTGAAGACGCGTACTTCGTGTTCACCCTGGATAGGAGTGGTAGCGTGGGTTATCGCACGAGTTTGCGTCTCTTGGTGTAAATTCGACGTGGTCCCTCTCCAGATTGGCGATGCCTTGCTTGCAGAACCACTCGGTTACCCGACCGGGACCGTACTCTCACCCCGAGAAACTCGTAATAGGATAAGTTTCGGACGGCCTGCCTCCGCGAACCGGTTTCGCAAAGTTCCAGCCCGTCTTTAACGATCCGTGAGTGCCGGAGTTTTCATCGAGTAGCTTCCACGTTTTCCAGAACCGAGGGACTAAGCTCGAGTTCGCCGATTTTCATTTACACAACGTCTGGAACGGTGGATACCGCGAATTGGTCTGAGAGAGAGCCTTCTTCTTGTACGACGTGAGTCGTGTTGTTTGGATTCGAGCAAAGTTGTTTAGTGATTTACGAAGGTTAGGATTTGATGTTTATCAAAGAAGGGAGTGGTATTTATGGTTTTTTTAGGGATGCTGGGCAGATGAAAAATGATAAAATCAATTTAATTTCACACCGTTGCGTAAGTATGTATTAGACGAATTAGGTCGATCGTTGATGAAATGTCAACGCAGAAGTGCTTATTATTCGTCGCAGAACTGATTCGAAATTCAGCCACGTGAGTCGGTCATTAAAAATCGAGGTCGAATTATTAACTTCGACAGGCGGCGAGGATGATACAATAAACAGATTCAGCTGATTTATTTTCAGAATCGGTCTTTTCCCGTGGAACAGTGCCCAGTTGTAAATGCAGAAAGCGTATCGGGTTTCCACCGCCACCGGTGGAAATAACTTATTTAAAAGTACTGCTGGTGGAAAATGTCCGTTTTAGCTTCCGGCCACGCGATTATTTAAATTTTTTAAATTCCATTCCCCTGGGACCTATTTTCCTTTTCAGGAGACGTGCCACGCTGACTTAGACACGCACATACGAAGAATGTTACAAATTTACAACGCTATTTTTCTATTCTTTTTTCACTCTGTTGATAGACGTTTCTCGAACGTGCAATTTAATTTTATTTTAACGGGTAGAACACGATCCCATTGCGAACAAACTGCATTTCCATCTTAACACGAACAATAGAAACGGTGGAATTATAATACTTTCAAGTAATGAAAATATAACAGAATTTCATTTTTACACATTTTCACGCATTCTGTAATAAATTTAATTTTTCTGCAGAATTAGAAATAAGAGAAACTAATAATAGGATTAATTTCAAAAATTATTTTCCATGGCAGAATTATTTATTTGGATTCGAGGACAGACATAAAAAGTATGTCAAACCACAGTTAAAATTTACGTAATGGTTAAATACTCCAGTGCATGATGCAACTCTAATCGTTCTAAACAGAAAAGTAAAGCAAGAAGAATTAAGTTCTTAGAAGCGTGCAGCTGCATTTGGAGGAAACAAGCCACTTAGAAGGAATTATTATCTTCTGGCAGGCGTTCATTGACGAGCTTGCTGTTCTCCTGCCAAAACGTGTCGCAAGAAAGAAACTTGACCTACATTATGGCCGTGCCGCGATTAAACCAGCGAAATGTACTCTAATTTGAATCAATGGTTCACTGTAATGCGCGCAAAACAACAACACCCTCGTCGAAGCTTACACGCGACTGAATTTAATCGTTCGTCCTTCGATTGGAGCTGGCCCCGACCTCGTTTTTTGGAGGCAGCGAGAATTATAAATCTGTTCTCTGTTTCGACATTAATCTTTTTGCTCGTCGATACGATCATATCGTCACTCGATCGAGCTACATCTTCCACCAGTTACGTGGAAAACATTTCCGTTCGATATCAATTGCACTCGATATCTGTACAGACATGATAGATCATCTTAGACCGTGTTTACCTCACATTTTGGACATCTAGTATATTAAATATCCATGGAAAGTATAATATCGTTATTAGTAGCGAAGATATTTTTATTTTCATCTTAGAATCTAATTAATATGGATTTCTATGGATCTGTTTTTATTTTCAGTTCATAAATTAAAAATTCTAGCAGCACATTTCATATTTCTATACAAGCCACAGAATGTTTACTCCTTTAACGTCCATTACGATATAAAAAAATAACTTTCAACCAAAATTCTATGAAGTACCATAAAACAACCCCGAACGTTCAGCAGAGGTTACGCTGGGGTTAATGAGGACATCGTGCATGTGACCCTTGATTGGTCCTGATAATAGAGGAGATGGACGATAAATCCAGTCTGAATAAAGTCCATGGAGACAAGCATTATCGATCGAACTAGGGGTTACGCGCTCCTTCTACATACATCCGTACGAATCGGCCTTAACGCCTCTAACCCAGAAACGCTAGGATTCCTGGCATGCCTTCGCGTCCCTCGATAATCTCGATTCGCGCAAGAGGCGCATTTGTGCTGGGAACTTCTCTACGCGTCTGCCCAGAGGACGCTTATCCGCGAGCAGTAGACTTATCATCCAGCCACGGTACTTAATCGCGAACGTGCATGTACAGGGTGGCCATGAATCGCGCTACCACGCTCTACCCCTCGGACTAATCCTGACAGTCGCACGATCCTGGACTCGAACATCGTTTTTCCTTATCTTTACCTACCCTACACTATGCAGAGTTAGGGAGGTTAGTTAGCGTTATTGGTGATCAAATGAACTCCTCGAGGGGTAGGTTTAGTTTCGAGTCCTAAAGTTGGGTGACATTCGAGATTTCTTGATTATTGGATGGATTAATTGTTAATTTTGTAACGTACCTGGCAAATTTCTAGGTTTAGTGGGCTTTTGTAGATATTGTATGTTTACTTTGGGATTCTATAATTCGACCAACAAATGTTTAGATTCAGGGCGTAACATTGTATGTATTATATATTTAGTTTAGTATAAAATACTTTTTCAAATTAGATATTCGTTAGTAAGAGCTTGTCAGATTTGATATAAGAAGACCCAATGGATAATGTTGATATTTCGAGCGACGAATACGAGTTACCCGTTGTATACTTTTGCACACTTGTCATCGCAAAGTCGATGATAATTTATGATGTAACACCGTAAGCGCATTATTACTTGTATAACGACATCATTGCCAACTGTATCCAGTTGACCTGGAGAAATTGTCGCGCAACTGAAGTGGAAAATAATTTTTGCGATTCGTCAATTTGAAGGTGAATTGTTCTGGAAATTTTGGAAATATTTCTCTTTCGGCATATTAAAGTATACTCTAAAATATTAAAACTGCAAACCCAAAAGTTATAAATTAGGATACACTACTCTTGCGTATTAAAGTCCATCTGCCTTATGGTTTCATCATTACGTAGCTACTTTTGTTTCTGATAACAAATATGGATGACTCATAAGCACGCGAATGCAATACATTACGTGTTATCGGATCAAAATATATAAAATCTTGACAGTTATTAGATAAGGTAATCTTGCGTGCTATTTATTCTTATTGAGATTGGTCAAAAATATTGACAAAATAATCTCGAAGACTGATTAAAATTTATTTGTCATCAAACTTTTCTTATTCTATATGTTCGAAGGAAAAAATTATTACAAAAACGAGTTACACAGTGTAAAAAGAGGTAAGAGGTGAAAATGAGCGAGATTCTACCAGAAACAAAATTATAAGGCTACCGTGGAAGTTCTGTATGCGTTTGTTTTTAAACTCCCTCGAAACTCACGACTGACGTATCGCGAAACAAGAGGCTGGAATAAAAGTTTCAACGATAGTATCGCCTTCTCTATTCACGACGATATGCGAGACGTTTTGAAGTCATTCCTTCCCTTAGTGATTTCAACGATTTCGGTACTTTCTAGCGTGTCTGCCCGGGCACGTATTCCCAATGAAGGCTTTATCTTCCAACATATCATTCAAGTCAGAAACAAGTGGTCGATAAAACTGTCTCCATCAAATACTGAATTCTTTTTCCCCCAGTTTCGTTTTCGTCTCTTTAACACTATAACTACCAAGGTCTACGTATACCTTTTATACGTACAATTACATTTTTTTTCCATTAATAGAAGGAGGACAAAGATAGAAAGAGTTTTCAAAGATTTATCAAGGTAACAATCTAAACTTATAACGAGTTTTTGAGTCTACAAATGTAAAGAAGTAAGTTTCGAATGTTTCAAAATTGTTCACGAAGATACCGGAAGAAATTCGCGAGTTTCCTAATTCTTCAACATTTCGTACTCCACTAAATTTCCAGCAAGATTTAAAGCAGAATCGAGCAGGGCTCAACGACGAAATCGCATTTTAAACGTCTTCGGTAGACGGAGACTTTAAACTCTAAATTCAAGCATTACATTTACGCGATGATTTAAAATCTACTTTCCTCTTTTCAGCGCTGATCGAAGGAAAAGATAAGCCTTCGACGCAGCATCGATAGGAATTGATTTACGATCCTCGACGTAAACGTCGGTCATGAAGAGGAAGGGAGGAGCACGGTTAACGAGCATCTTCAATGCGTCGATCGGTCTCGAAGGATCAAAGGAATCCTCGAATTCCTCGAGCAGG